GCTCCGGGCCCGACGCGAGGGCTGATAACGGCGCACAGGCTGCGGGATAACGGGACCGGGAGGCGGATAACGGAGCTGTCCGGGAGGGTGGGAGACGATAAAGGGGCGAGGCCAGCGGGTAACGGGCCGGGAGGAGACGAGCAGCTGGGTCCGGGGTGCGGAGATCGCTGTGATCCCGGAGTTCCCTCCCTGAATCCCAAGGCTTCGGGTCAGGCTAGGCGCAGGGACCGCGCGTGGTTCCCGCTTCGCCCGGGTGGAGCTGCGGGTGGCGGCTTCTCGCCCTGCGCCGGATTCTGAGTTGGGGTGACCGGGAGGGCTGTGTAGAGGGGCAGGCTCAGTCGACCTGGCACCTGTGAGCGCGCGTGGAATGGGAACTCTGGGCTCAGAGGAATAATCGTGAGGCTTTTCAGAGATGCCCTGTTCAGCTAACTCTTCCGAGTCTGTCTGGTTTCTGATTTTCCTTGTCTCTGAAGCTCGAGGTCTAGCCCGGGGTGCACTCCCCTAACCCTGGAGTCCCTGGAGTCTGACCGGGTTAGCAGCGGATCACAAGCCATGTGCATGCTAGTGGTCTGTCCAGAGTGCATTCGTGCCCATATCTGTCTGGCGAGTGTGTGCATCGGTGTGTGTGAAAGGACCTCTGTGTCCGAGGGAGGGAGTGTGTGTAAGTTGGTGCTGGCTCCACCAGGACTTCAGGCCCCTCCTCCTCCCACCCTGATTGCATCATTAGTGCTAATTGAGGGGCTTTCACACGCCAGTGCATTAGCTGTTTGGAGTGAGCTCCCCCCTCCTGGGAGAGATAAGCTGCTGCCCCTCCCCCTGGCATCCCACCGCTTCCCCACTGCCTGAAACTGTCCACGTAGATCCGCTCACCTTCCTGAGCACCTTCCTGCCTCCCTCCACGCCAGGTTAATCTCTCCTTCCCTCCCCCCCCCCCACCCCGTGTCAGGGCTTGATTGGCTAGAGAGGGAGGGGTCAGGAAGGAGAAGGGTCTAGAGCCTTTCTTGCTTGCTATTTTAATTTGACCAGAGAGAGACACGAGGGTGGGGGTGGGAGTGGGGTGGAGACAGAGAGAGAAAGTGAGAAAGCAAGCCACCAGGTCCAGGACTTGAATCATGGTCGGCCATGTGGGAGTGTCCAGTGCCTTAAGCACCATGCGAAAAGGGAGATTTTTGCTATAGGGCTGGTGGGCTCTCTGGACAGATAGAGAAAGAGAGAAAACGAAAAATTACCCTGCCAAGGGGAGATGGCCACATTGTAATCCCTTCTCCTCCATTCTCCTCTTGGGGTCTTGGGCACATGTGCACATGGCATGAGTTTTAAGCTACTGGGTCCGGGCCTTGAACCCCGATCACCTAAGTGGGAGTCCAGCAGTGTGACCATTAGTCAACTGCTGGTCCCTAGAGCCTACTTTGTAAAGAGGCATCCAGGAGGAGAGATTTTTCCTAAAGAGATCTGGCAGTCTTGCAGAATGCGGGGTCTCTGTGGTGAGAAAAGGGGCAGTAACTTTTGCCCAGTTTTTTTGAACGTGAAAGGGCGGAGGAGAGGGCTGAGTCCTGGAGCTCCAGCCTGTGATGCCATTGAGGAAGGCCTTCCAGCCTTGAGTCCTCAGTCCCCTAAGACTTGGATAGTTTGCTTCCAGTCTTGGTTAGCAAACATGGGGAAGGCAGGCTGAAGGAAGGCATGGTTCCCCCTGAGAACTTTGGTTTTGGTGGGGTCTGGTCTGTTCTTGCATAGCTTCTCTGTGGGGCACTGGCCCATGGCTACAGGGCATGGGGGGAAGGCTCTGAGCAGATGCCCTCCCCAGCCCTCACACCAGATGTCTTTGGTCTAATTAACTGTGCTGGGAAAACCAACCTGGGTTTGTAAACAGAGCTACTGGCTAAAGTCAACAGGGAACAGCAGCGAACAGCAAACATTCCCCTCACACTCAGCCTCAGTCCAATTCAGTCCCCTGGGGGAAAGGGGGAGCTGAGTGGATCATGAGGCTCCCTGGCCCACCACTGCATCACAGAATGCATGTCTGCTGGTGACCCTAATATGACTGTCATTTCCTTACCAGTTGCAGGGTCTCCTCTACTAGGGAGGAATGGGGGTTCTGGGAGCAACAGTTGCCCACTCAAGACAGGCTCTATCCCCATTCCAGCAATTTCCCCATAGATATCTGCCTAGCCAAACATTCTAGTCCATAAGGAAGCCATTGTGGGAGATGGAGGACATTCCTTGAAGAGCTTTCTTTGGGGTTGCTCTGTTCTCGAGTCTTAGAGAAGCCTCTGGGGAGTTGGCGTTGTGAGTCCACAGCTTGGAGGAGGCGAATATAACGTGAACATTGTTAAGTTCGTTACACATCATGTAGGTATTATAATAACACGTTCTGAAATTAGATAATTATTCCTGTGATATCTTTGCCAAGCTTCAGCATTTCTGTTATGGTTTGAAAGTTCAATGCACACAGGGGCCTGAGAAACAGGCACAGATGTACATACAATGCACGCATAGAAGCCCACGAGCAGTACCCTCACATACAGAAACAAAGACATTTCAGCTGTCTCCCTCACCAGCTTGCAGACACACAGACATACATAATCTGAGAAAGAAATAGGGTTTTGGCTTCTGAAAGAAAGGGATTGAAGTTTTGGACAGATTAGTTTCTGCATTGGCAGTTCTTGAAGAAACAATTTTTGCTCCTTCACTTTTTTGTTGTTATTTACCACCCAGAGAGAGGAATCATTTTGAAGACTTGAAAGACCTGCGACACTGCCGCAGGGCCCTGATCAACAGTTTGCCCACCCACCTGAAGGCTGGAAAGGGCCCACGTGGCCCAGAGCTCTCAGTGCCCCTTCACACTGGAGCCTGAGACTGGGGTCTTCCTCTACATGGATCCAGGGCTCCCAGCACCCAGACTGGAGAGTCTGTGCAAGTGTGAGAAGGCCCAGTGCTTTGGATGCAGTGTCTTACCCTTGTCCTTCTACCATGCCCCTGCCCACCCGGAATACGGACTGGATACTAGCCCTTGGGAAGGAGGCAAATGGCCCAAACATTGCATTTCTTTAGAATTGTCATAAAAACATTTTTATAAAACTTTTCCCAGAGGGTTCATGTGCTTGCCAGAGAAAGACAGGGAGAGGAATAGAGGGAGAAAGCACCCTCTATGGAGAATAGTCATGTTGCAATCCCTCCTTCTCCGTTTCTCCCTCCTTTCAGGATTTTGGGCATGAACGCTAGATCTGGGACTTGAAACCCATGGTTGGCCATATTGAGCCTAACTGTCTTAACTATCAGGCCACAACCTGGCCTTGAAAATGTCTTTTTATATTTTTTAAGAATTATTTTATTTAACTTTATTTATTTAAATTCAACCAGAGAGGGACACAGAGAGAGAGTGAGAGAAAGTGAGAAAGCAAGCTGCCAGGTCTGGTACTAGAACCATGGTTGGTCATGTGGAAATCTCATGTCCTTAACCACCACATCAACTGCCAGTCCGGAAAGTGTCTTTCAAATACCTGTTTTCGACACGCTCTTGTCAGATGGTCCTAGGCTATCCAGGCTATAATACCAGCCTTCCCGTAGTCTTCTAGATTGTCTACCCTGTTTTGGCCAGCTCGGGTCTCAAATACCTCTTCCAGAGTCTTCCTCTTCTACTCAGAAACCTGGAGGACAAACAAAGCTGATTGGGGGGCCAGCAGATGGCGTAATGGCTATGTCACTGGACTCCCATGTAGTCGACTGTAGTTCCAGTCTCGGATCCAACAGTTTAAAACTCATGCCAAGTGTGCCACGAAATCCCAAGAGGAGGATGAAGAAGGGATTACGGCATGGCCATCCCCGCCTCCCTGTGTGTGTGTGTGTGTGTGTGTGTGTGTGTGTGTGTGTGTGAGACAGCTCGCTTTCTGTCTCTCTGTCTCCTTTAGTGAGTGCGTGCACCCTGTAGCAAAAAATCTCTCTCTTAAAAAAAGCAACAAAACAAAACAAAACAAAACAACAGAAAACAAAGTTGGTTGTCATGCCTCTGGGAGTGGCCCTTCTCTATTCAACGCTTCCAAAGTCAGCTCCCAGTCTGAGGCTGCACCACCCCCTGACTAGCAGCACCCCTACACCTTCCCATCGGTGCCCTCTCTCTCTCTGCCTCCTCTTCCCTGAAATACTCTTTTTTTTTTTTTTTTGAGAAGTTTTTGCTATAGGGTGCGTGCGCTCGCCAGACAGACAGAGAGAGACAGAGAGACAGAAAGCGAGAAATCACTCCCCAGGGGGGATGGCCACGCC